ATTGAGATTGCAACTTTTCCTCCCATTTGTATTTTTTTGGAACAGTTTCAAAAGAATATATATTAATTCTTCTTTAAATATGTGGTAGATTTTCCCTGGAAAGCCATCCTACCCTGGACTTTTGTTTGTTGGGAGATTTCTGATTAGTTTCAATTTCTTTGCTGCTTGTGGATCTGTTCCAATTTTCTATTTCTTCCTATTTCAGTTTTAGTAGTTTATATGTTTCTAGGAATCTATCCATTTCTTCCAAATTGCCTTATTTGTTGACATATAGTTTGTCAAAATATTCTCTTATAATTGCATTCCTTTGTTGGTTGTGATCTCTCTCATTCTTGATTTTATTCACTTGAGTCCTTTTGCTTTTCTGTTAAGTCTGGCTAGGAGCTTATTATGTAAATTATTTTTTAAGTGTATTTACTTATTTTGAGAGAGAGATAGAGAGAGAGCAGTGGAGGGGCAGAGAGAGAGAGAGGAGAGAATCTTAAACAGGCATTGCACCATCATCTCCTGAGCCAAGAGATCATGACCTGAACTGAATTCAAGAGTCAGATGCTTAACCGAGGCACCCCTCAATTATGTAAATTCTAGCAAAGAACTAGCTCCTAGTTTCATTGAGATGTTCTACTGATTTTTTTAAATTTTGGTATCATTTCTGCTTTAGTCTTTATTATTTCCCTCTTTCTGCTGGTTTTGGGCTTTATTTGCAGCTCCTTTAGGTGTAAAGTTAGGTTGTGTATTTGAGACTTTTCTTCCTTCTCAAGGAAGACCTGGATTGCTATATACATCCCTCTTATGACTGCCTTTGTTGCATCCCAAAGGTTTTTGATTATCATGTTTTCATTTTCATTGGATTCCATGTATTGTATTAATTCCCATGTATTGTTGGGCTTTCCAAAAAAAATTATTTTGTTTGAATTTTGTGTGGGGCCCAAAATAAGAGAAGGTTCTGCAACAGGTACAGGCTTCAAATCAAGCTGCTTTACCACTTGGGCCATATGATCCAACATATTCCATGATGGTTGAAGTGTCAGTTGCAGGTAGGGATGCTCTTTGGAGACTTTCACAGGCTCCACAGATGCATATCATAATGCAGGTCTTTAGGATTTTGGAGGAAATCCCTGCCATAACCTATAGATAACTACTTTCTTTTTCAGAAACAGCTCTTGGCCTGCTGCTGGGTCTTTGTAGAGATTGAATTTCTGACCATGGGCCACCAACTTACCATACAACCTCAGCTTCCTATCATGAACTGAGTGTTTTCTGACCCACCAAGCCATGAAATTAATCATGCACAACAGCACTCCATCATCAAATGTAAATACTAATAACATGATCAGGCCCAAGCAGGCCCTGAAGGCAGAGGTAAGTTACATAAATAAGTGGCTTAAATGCTCATGGTCCCCTCTATTGCCACACTGCCTTGTCTCTCCCTCCAAGCTTATACTTATGGCCTTATGAGGTTTATTTACCATTAGCTGAAGAAAGAGAAGACTTGGACCTAGTTTACAGATGATTCTGCACAGTATGCAAGAACCACTAGAAAATGGAGAGCTAAAACACTACAGTCTTTCTCTTGGACATTCCTGAAGACAGCAGTAAAAGGAAACCCTCCCAAGAGGAAATAACTTCAGGTAGTGTACTTAGTTGTGAACTTTTCTTGGAAGGAGTAACACCAAGACATGTAATTGAATACTGATTCATGGGCTGTAGCCAAAGGGTTAGTTGGATGGTCAAACACTTGAAAGAAAGAGAAGTGAGAAATTGGTGACAGAGAAATTTGGGGAAAACTTTTATAGATATACTTCTCTGAAAAGGCAAAGAAAGTGAAGATAGTTGTGTCCCAAGTGGTTTTTAACTAAATGGGGAACTCAGCAGAGAAGTTAATAGTTTTAATAATCAGACAGAGAGGACGACTCATTCTGTGGATACTAGTCAGCCTATTTCTCTAATCACACCTATTCTTTCTGAAAGGGCTCATGAACAAAGTGGTCATGGTAACAGAGATGGAGGTTATGATTTGGCTCAAAACATGAACTTCCATTCACCAAGCCCTACAAGGTTACAATCACTGCTGAGTGCCTAATCTGCCAGCAGCACAGGTCAATTCTGTCAGGTGTAGCACCATTTTCTAGGATGATCAGCCAGATAGAAAACATAGTGACAGGCTGATTACATTGGACCACTTCCATCATGGAAGGGACAACGTTTTTCTTTATTGGAATAGAGTCTTGCTATGGATTTTGATTTGCTTTCCCTACATGCAGTGCTTCTGCCAAAACTATCCTCCATGGAATTATAGAATGCCTTGCCTGTCATTATGTTTTCTACTCAGCATTTCTTCTGATCAAGGAACTAACTTCAGAGAAAAAGAAGTGTGGCAATGATCCTGGGCTCATGGAATTCACTAGTTCCCCACTATCCTGAAGCAACTGACTTGACTGGAAGGGCCTTTTGAACACTCAGTTACATCATCAGCTAGGTGGCAATATCTTTTGGGGCTGAGATAAAGTTCTCTACAAGACTGTTTATGCTCTGAATCAGTGTTGATATATGGTGCTATTTCTCACATAACCAGGATTCATGGGTCCAGGAATTGAAGGGTGGAAATATAAATGGGACCATTCATTATTACCCCAAGTGACCAACTAACAAAATTTGTGTTTCTTGTTTCCATGACTTTATGCTGTGCTGGTCTAGAGGTCTTATTCTCAGAAGGAGAAATGCTTTCATGAGGAGACACAACAATGATTCCTTGAGAAGTAGATTGGAATTTTTCAGGATTTCTCTTAGTATTACCATGCCCTATAATTAAAGCCAATAGAAAACTACCACAACAGGACTGCTAATGGTCCAGGCCCTTCAGAAGTGAAGGTTTTGGTCACCAAACCATCCCAGGTGCTTTCTGAGGTCAAAGAGAAAACAGAATGGGTCGTAAAAGAGCGTAGTTGTAACTACCAGCTACAACCACATGACAGTTACAAAAGTGAAGACTGTAATGTCAAGAGTGTTTCCTCCTTATAATGTCATAAGTACATTTTTGTGTGTATATATGCATATCTTAAGCAAGTATCTTTGTTTTCTTTCCTCCCTTACTCTCTTATAGTATAAGACATTTTGACTTTATGTCAGTATTTAAGTATTGCTGATTTAAATCATAGTATTTAGGTTAAAAGATATCAGGAGAATAGTGAACATCATTCAAGAATTTTATCTACTTTTCTGGGCAAGGAATTAGTGCATTTTTGTTTGTATTCAGTATACTTATATCACATTATAGTTATGATATTTGGAGAATAAGTATATGATTGCAAGTTGAGCAGGGATAGACTGTGATGATTAATTTTATATGTTAACTTATGAACCACCAGAAATCTGATAAATCATTATTTCTGGTTGTGTCTGTGAGTGTAACTCTGGAGGAAATTAGCATTTTAATCAAAAGATTGAGTGAAGATTAACCTCATCAATGGAAGTAGGTATTATTCAATCTTTTGAGAAACTGATTAGAAAGAAAAAAAAAAAGACAGAGAAAGGATGAATTTGCGTTATGTTTAAGCTATGACATCCATCTTCTCCTGCCTGGGACATGCATTGGCATTCCTGGTTCTCAAGTTTTGAAGTCATACCTAAACTTAGACCATGGGCTTTCCAAGTCCCCAGCTTTCACACCCATACTAAATTTCACTATGACCTTCCCTGGTTCTCCACGTTCCACATAGCAGATCATTGGATTTTTTGGCCCCCATAAATATATGAGCCAATTCCTATAACAAATCTTCTCATTATCTATCTACATTAATCCCTCTCTCTATATATCATCTATCTATAATATATCTACCTACCTATCATCTATCTGTCATCTCATCATCAATCATTGATATTCTATTCATTCTGTTTCTCTGGAGAACCTTGACTAATGCATTTATTATAACTTACTCTTAAGAATAAACATTTTCATTATAATTTTCTTTAACTCTATGAATGCTTTCACTGTTAAAGTTGATCAAGCTTTTTTTTGTATAAGGTTTTTTATATAAATTTCCATGGTATCTTTCCATTCTTTACCTTGAAACTTTATATAACTGAGGTACATCTTTTGTGAGCAGCATATAATTGAGAATTATTTCCAAATCATTGTTTTTTGATTGGCAATGGACCTGACTATAATGTAACTACATAGCATTGCAATTTAAAATAAAATAGTGACCTTTAATCATGACATTAGATTTATTATAACCTTTCTTTATCTCATACCTACTGCTTAACAGAGTTAGTGCATACTAACAATTAGTATAACTTCAAAAATAAATATATAATATAAAAATTCATAAATATGACTTTCTTACATATAATTCATCTGTAGAATTTTATATGTAACTATAAATTTATATTACATTTGTTATATGAGAAATCTTCTATCTTTTCTTGTTAGATCAGAACCATAACATGCAGGTTTTGAATCCCAATCAGGCAAGGCAGGTAATTGCGGTTTGTTTTGTTTTTGTTTTTTGTTTTTTTTTTGTTTTTGTTTTTGTTTTTTTCATTTTTTCTGTCCATTGAAGATAATTATTCTGGAAGAATAAATGAAAGGGAAAAAGTTACCTGTTTGACCAATCAAGTTAAAAATGATTAATTCAACAAATAGCATGGGGTTACCCTTATTAGAGAGTTCTATCATGTTATTTATTTTTAACCAACTTAATACACAAATGCTCAAAGATTAAATGTTATAAGAAACAAATTTAAAACATCACACGGCAAATAAATTTTTAAATGAAAATTGGAAAGTCATTTATAGTTTACAATGCCTATGACATAGTTTACAATATTGAAAAATATTTTTGAATTCAATTTTTATTCTATGTAGCAATATATCACCATTAAATATATATTATATTATTTAAATTTATCTAATACATTAAATTTTCTGTTTCTCTGTCTCTACCTTTCACTATTACATTATTTTATACTCACTGTGATATGATGGATTGTTTTCCTGGCTACTCCCTAGGTTCACCCTCACTTTCAAGTTGCCTATATATTTCAAAATAAATATAATCACTTAAAATTATATTTTCTTCAAGACTGTTCCACAAAACTCTGTATACACTTTCAATATTGATACAGCTTTGAATTCCTATCTAGGATCTGAGACTAAGCACTCCTTAAGAATATATTACCACTGAGAACACTGATCAATTAGTAATCAAGATTAACATGAGAAAAAAATACATTAACGTAAATTTACCTAAAAATGAATGCATAATTTTCATATTAATAACACTATTAGCTAAATAACAGTAAGCTTTCTTGTGATTCATCTTCTGCCATATTTATTTCTATGAATTTTACCAGCTACTTTCTCTCCCAAAGATATTTGGTATCATTTTTCCACAATAAAGTCACCCAACATATGAATATCCTTTCAAATTGAATTATGTTAACTATTTTACACCCTGCATATTATTTCAGAAATGTTACATAACATTTTCAAATCATTTCTGTGAAACGTATTCTCTTTTATTTATATTATCTTATGAACTTTAAATATTTTAATAAAATTTAATGTTTATTAAGTAAAATGAATAGCAACACAGAACCCAAAGGCACAAATTATTTTATAGCAATTCCTCTGAAGAAAAGTAACACAAGTATAATATTTATTTTTATTTTTGAAGCATATTTTCAGATGTTTCTAAGGTTTAATGAAAACTTTTTTTTATTTTTTCTGAAGATTAGCCTTGACTATAATCTCGATATTTCAGTCTACTATTTATTAACTTTTAATCTTTTCAACCTTTGGTTGCCTAACTTTCAATTTATTTAACAGCCTAAAAGACTAATTACTCCTTTAGATTTCTCTGTTTCCTTTTAATAAAATAGTATGCACAAAATAGTTTGAAATATATAAATAATAAAAAATAAAGTAATAATGTTTAATACATATTTAATAATTAAGATCAAATAATAAAAAGAGGTAGATAAACATTAACTAAAAATCATTTCCACTTAAATTTATCCCAACAGAGTTCAGGTTGTTACAATATTAAAATTCCTGACCTTTTAAATATTCTATTTATTATGCACTATACTGATTATTAATATATTAAGTATTATATTTTACATGAAGATAAAAATTAAATCTGAATTATTATTTACATCATTATGCTGTTATTTATTAATAGGTCATATATACGCCAAAAAATTATCAAAGAAATGAATCTTAAATATGAAATCAATATACTCATCGCTTGTATACTCCTCAGTTCTCCATTTGTTTCTTTGGAAATAAACTTTTACCAGTGCGGCAATCAGTAAACAGAGAATAATGAAAAAAGGAATGAGTAGGAAAAATGGCCATCTTGTAGGTTTGGAATGATAAGCATTTTCAATGTAGCGTCTTTCTAGGAGAGAAAACACCAGTGATTTGAAAGCAATTACCAGGAATATAATAAAGACATTTCTTAAGGGGGTCTATCCACCAAGATCTAACAACTGTAAATATTTATGCCCCCAACGCTGAGACACTAAAATATGTACATCAATTTGTCACAAACATAAAGAAAATCATTGATAATAATACAATGCTATAAGTGGGGACTTTAACACCCCACTTAAAACAATGGACAGATTACCTAAGTAGAAAATCAATAAGGAAACAATGGCTTTGAATGACACACTGTACCAAATGCACTTAACAGATATATTAAGAACATTTCATCCTGAAGCAGCAGAATACCTATTCTTCTCCAGTGAACATTTAACATTCTCCAGAATAGATAGCATACTGGTTCAATTCTCAGCCCTCAACAAGTACAAAGAGATCAAGCTCCTACCATGTGTATTTTCTTACCACAACACTATGAAACTTGAAATCACAAGAAAAATTTTAGAAAGAACAGAAATACTTGGATATTAAAGAACATTCGACTAAAGAATGAGTGGGTTAACCAAGAAATTAAAGAGGAAATTAAAAAGTACATTGAAGCCAATGAAAATGAAAACACAATAGTTTAAAATTTTTGGGATACAGCTAAGGCAGTCATAAGAGGGAATTATATAGCAATCCAGGCCTTCCTAAAGAAGGAAGAAATGTCTCAAACACACAAGCTAACTTTATACATAAAGCGGCTGGAAAAAGGACTGCAAATAAAGCCCCAAACCAGCTGAAGAAGGGACATAATAAAGATTAGAGCAGATCAAAGATATGAAAAAAGATAGTAGAGGGGTGCCTGGGTGGCTCAGTTGGTTAAGCCTCCTACTTCAGCTCAGGTTATGGTCTCTCAGTTTGTGAGTGTGAGCCCCACATTGGGCTCTGTGCTGACAGCTCGTAGCCTGAAGCCTGCTTTGGATGCTGTGTTTCCCTCTCTCTCTCTGCCCCTCCCCCACTCATGTGCACGCTCTCTCTCTCAAAATGAGTAAACATTTTTTTTTTATTAAAAAAAATAGAACAGATCAACAAAACTAGGAGCTGGTTCTTTGAAAGAATTAACAAAACTGATAAACCTTTAACCAGATTTGTCAAAATTAAATAGGAAAGGACCCAAAATAAATAAAATCATGAATGAAAGAGATCACAGCCAACACCACAGAAATACAAACAATAACAAGAGAATATTATGAGCAATTATATGACAAATAGAGCAATCTGGAAGAAATGGATAAATTCCTAAAAACAAATAAACTACCAAACTGAAACAGAAAAACTAGAAAATTTGAACAGACCCATACTCAGTAAAGGAATTGAATCAGTAATCAAAATCTCCAAACAAACAAGAGTTCAGTATGAGATGGCTTCTCAGGGGAATTCTACCAAACATTTAAAGAAAATCCAGTAACTATTCTTTTGAAGCCATTCCAAAAAATACACATGGAAGGAAAACTTCCAAACTCATTCTATTAAGCCAGAATTACCTTGATTCCAAAAAAAAAAAAAATACTCCACTGAAAAGGAGATTTACATACTAATTTCCCCGATTAATATGGGTGCAAAAATTCTCATATTAGCAAAAAAATCCAACAATACATTAAAATCATTATTCACCACAATCAAGTAGGATTTATTCCTGGGCTGCAGGGATGGTTCAATATCCACAAATCAATCAATATGACACAACACATTATTAAAAATGTATAAGAACCACCTAATCCTCTCAATAGATGGAGAAAAAAAACATTTGACAAAACACAGCATCATTTTTTGATAAAAAAAAAACCCTCAAGAAAGTAGAGATATAAGGAACATACCTCAACATCATAAAGACCAAATATGAATGATCCACAGCTAATATGACCCTCAATTGGGAAAAACTGAGACCTTCCCCCTAAGATCAGGAACACAACAAGGTTTTCCATTCTCACCACTGTGGTTCAACATGGTACTGGAAGTCATAGCCTCAGCAATCAGATAACACAAAGAAAAAAAAAAAAGGCATACAAACTGTCAAGGAAGAAGTCAAACTTTCACTCTTTGCAGATGACATGATACTCTACATGAAGAAAACCTGAAGAACACCACAAAAAAATTGCTAGAACTGATCCAGGAATTCAGCAAAGTCACAGGATATAAAGTCAACATACAGAAATCAACTGCATTTATATACACCAATAATGAAGTAGCAGAAAGAGATATTAAGGAATCACTCCCATTTACAATTACACCAAAAACCATAAAATACCAAGGAATAAATTCAACCAAAGAGGTAAAATATCTGTATGCTAAAAACTATAGACAGCATATGAAAGAAATTGAATAAGACACCAAAAAAATGGAAAAATATTCCATGGTCATGGACTGAAAAACAAATATTGTTAAAATGTTGATACTACCCAAAGCAGTCAACACATTCAGTGCAATCCCTATCAAAAAAAACACAAGCGTTCTTCACAGGGCTACAACAAACAATTCTAAAATTTGTATGGAACCAGAAAAGACCCCAAATAGCCAAAGTAATGTTGAAAAAGGAAACCAAAGCTGGAGGCATCACAATCCTGGACTTCAAGCTGTATTACAAAGCTGTAATCATGAAGACAGTATGGTACTGGCACAAAACAGACACATAGATCAGTAGAACAGAATAGAAAACCTAGAAATGGACCCAACTAATCATTGACAAAGCAAGTGATAAAAAGATAGTCTCTTTAGGAAATAGTGTTGGGAAAACTGGACCATGACATGCAAAAGAATGAAACTGGACCACTTTCTTACAGCATACACAAAAAAATAAATTTACCATGGATAAAGACCTAAATGTGAGACAGGAAACCATCAGAACCCTAAAGGAGAAAACAGGCAACAACCTCTTTGACCTCGGCTGCAGCATCTTCTTACTAGGTATGTCCTGGAGGCAAGGGAAACAAAAGCAAAAATCAACTATTGGGACCTCGTCAAAATAAAATGTTTCTGCACAGTGAAAGAAACAATCCTTTTAGCAAAGCTAAAAGGCAACCAACGGAATGGGAGAAGATATTTGCAAATGACATATCAGATAAGGGATTAGTATCCAAAATCTATAAAGAACTTATCAAAACCCAACACCCAAAAAACAAATAAACCAGTGAGGAAATGGGCAAAAGACATGAATAGACACTTTTCCAAAGAAGACATCCAGATGGCTAATAGACACATGAAAAGATGCTCAACATCACTCATCATCAGGGACGTACAAATCAAAACCACAATGATATATCACCTCACACCCACAGAATGGCTGAAATTAACGACTCAGGCAACAACAGATGTTCCTGAGCATGCAGAGAAAGGGGAGACATTTTTGCATGTTGGTGAGAATGCAAACTGGTGCAGCTACTCTGGCAAACACTATGAAGGTCCCTCAAAAAATTAAAAATAGAGCCATCCTAGGACCGAGCAATTGCACAATTAGGAATTGATCCAAAGGATACAAAATGCTGATTTGAAAGGCCCTATGCACCCCAATGTTTATAGCAGCGCTATCAACAATATCTAAATTATGGAAAGAGCCAAATGTCCATTGACTAATGAATGGATAAAGATGTAGTATATATATACAATAGAGTATTACTCGGCAATCAAAAAGAAGGAAATCTTGCCATTTGCAACAACGTGGATTGAACTACAATGTAATGTTAACTGAAAAGTCAGTCAGAAAAAGACAAATATCATATGTGGAACTTAAGAAACAAAACAGATGGACATAGAAGAAGGAAAGGAAAAGTAAGATAAAAACAGAGAGGGAAGCAAACTCTTAAATACAGAGAACAAACTGAAGGTTGCTGGCAGGATGTTGAGTTGGGGGGATGGGTTAAATGTGTGATGGACATTAAGGAGGGCACTTGTTGGGATGAGCACTGGGTGTTATATGTAAGTGATGAATCACTAAATTCTATTCTTGAAATCATTATTACACTATATGTTAACTAACTTTAATTGAATAAATAAATAAGTAAATAAAATTTCTGGAGAGTCATTTAAAAAATAAATCATTTCTATATTTTAATATGACTATTAGCATAAAATTTTTAAACTTTTATAGTTTTATAAATTAACATGTTTTTAAATGAAGTACATAGGTTTATAGCATCAGTGCCCCCAAAATTTTTTCTAACTTCTATAATAGTCCTATCCTTTGCTATTTATACTCAGAACTCTTTATTCTGTAGTTTCTCTTCAGAACTGTTTGATAATATAGATGAATAGAAAGTGTGACCCCTGTGAAGAGCAGAAGCAGTCTTTCTCAATGCTCTATTTTTATTAAGAAACACTGTACATGTGATAAAATTTTCATGAGTTCCAAAATACCTTTCTTTTATTGTATTGTATTGTATTGTATTGTATTGTATTGTATTGGTATGTATTTTCATGTCTTGTCTAAGAAATTATTGCTTATTCCAAGGTCATGTAGAAATTTCCCTGCTTCCTGGGGTACCTGGGTGGCTCAGTCAGTTAAGCTTCCGACTTTGGTTCAGTTCATGATCTCACAGTTCTTGGGCTCTGTGCTGACAGCTCAGTGCCTGGAGCCTGCTTCAGATTCTGTCTCTCTCGCTCTCTGCCCCTCCCCCACTCATGCTCTGTCTCTCTCTCTCTCTCTCTCTCTCAAAAATAAACATTTAAATTTTTTTTAAAAAAAATTCCCCTGCTTCCCTCATGAAGATATATAGTTTTCGTTTATGCATTTAGATTTATGATTTATTTCATATAAATTGGCAAGTTGAGATTTTAAGGATCAATGGTCTTATGTAGATATTCAATTATTACAATACAATGTTTTGAAATGATTTTTATTCATTGAACTATCTTTGTACCTTCCTTGAAAAAAATGTTTAACCATATATCAAGACTCCCTATTCCATATTCCATATCATTGATCTGTTTGTATATCTATCCATTACCAATGCCACACTGTCTTCATTAACATAACTATATTTAAATCTGTAATATACTAAATTCAATATAAGGGAAATAGACTAAGCTTTTTTTTAGGGTGGGTTGTTTTTTTAATTAATTAATTATTTTTTTTGGCTATTCTGAGCACTTTTGCAAATATTTTAGAATCAAATATTAATATATAAAAAGTTGCATGCTCTTATGATTGGGTTTTTTAATCTATAGATTTGGTGAGAATCTTAAAATAATAAACCTGGTGTACATGGCAAATTTCTCAACTTATTTTTATGTTTAACATCTGTCTGCATTTCTGTTTTAGTTTCAGTGTAAAGATATTATCCATATTTTGTTAAATTTATTTCCAAAATATTATATTTTTATAATAGTGTAAATAGTACTAATTATAAGTTGGTTTCCATTTACTGCTGTTATTATAAAACAATACTACTAACTTTTGAACATTATTTCCTCTGATCTTTCAAAATATATTACTTCTAGAAGTGTTTTGTAGATCCCTTAGGATTTAATATTGTACTTAACTACAACATATGCAGTCTCATTTCATCCTTTCTGATAATAATCTTTATGTTCTTGATTTCTTGTTTTTTGTTATTGCACTAGCTAGGATGGCTAGGATTTATGGGAAAATGTTGAATAGGTATGGTGAGAGCATAATTTGTTCCCCTGCTTTGAATTTTTTTTTTTTTTGAAAAACAATGTACTTCATCATAAGTTGTATTAGGTACATTTTCTGTTGATGCTTTTATCAGATTGATCAAGTTTACTTCTGTTCGCTGTTTTTTAAAAAAATTCATAAATAGGTAGGTGTTGAATTTTTTGTCAAATGATTTTTATGCATCACATGAGAAAATCTTATACTTTTTAAAAATAATTTCATTGATTTGATGAATTCCACTGATTGACTTTCAAGTGATACAGGAGACTTGCATTTCTAAGATAAATCCCAATTAGTCCAGATTACTATCCTTTTAATATAGATAGCTATAGAATATGCTAATATATTGGTAAGAATGTTTACATCTGTTTTTATAAAAGATGTTTTTCTGTAACTTTATCTATGTTAACTTACTTGTCTGGATTTGGTATCAGGGTTATGTTTTCCTTATACAATGAGGTGATAAAAGTCCTTCCTACCAGTTTTTTGAAAATGGTATTTCTTCCTTGCAAAAATTTTCTGGATTTAACTTGTGAAAACATCTATTTCTAGAGTTGGGGTTGGGGGCTGGTTATTTTTGTTGGTATTGATACTTAAAAATTATAAACCCACAGGCTAAAGAAATTTTAATTCTGGTTTCTTGGTTATATCTTTGATTTATAATTCCTTTTCCATAGGAATAGCCATTTTTACAACTGAATAGCTTTATCAGCCTTGTTTCTTGCCCATAACTAATTGGGACTCAAAGAATTTATGTACTATTTTGATCACTTTTAGTCTGAGCTGATACAATTCCTTTAAAATGTGTGGGCTTCTTGTGTGTCAAATAAAAAGTACACCCTATTAATCAAAGGAAAAGTCATGCCCACAAATCTTTTGAGATAACATTTTTTTCTATATTGGACCCTGGTGAGGCTGCTATGAGATAACTTACTCAACATGCTCCATAGCCTTACTTTTTCAGAGTTTTTAGAAGCATTCTAATACAACACTTAGAAGACCTTTTGCATAGACAAGATCTATAAAATTCATCACTTTGGTTTTTTTTAGGATTTAAAAGAGTCTTACAGTCACATGCTTGACTTAATTGTTAACTGATGTCAAATTTTATTGTTCAATATCTCAGATTTAGTTTTTAGCCATTTCTCTCAATAAGCATGTTTTGTTGGAAGAGTCTAAGGATGAGAATATTTTATCTTCAAACTAAACCAAACCAAAACAAAACACAAAATCCTGTCTTTTATATTTGATCTACATTTTACTTGAGAATTGAAATGTGTCTTCATTAACTATCATTTTCTTCTCATACTTTATCATAGGCAAATTAAATCACCTACTGGAAATCTTTACAATCTACCTGGAAATCTTGCTGACCAGAACCATAAATTCTATTTTCCATATTGTCACAGGCAACAGTGATGCCAAACAATTTGCCACTTCATAATAAATGTCCTTATTTCTCCAATTTCTAATAACATGTTTTAAAGCTATCTTTGAATTGTTCACCAACAGTATTCTCAAGACAATTTCAACATATACCAAAAGTCTTCAACAGTTTCCTAGATGACTTTCTACCTTCCATGTACCATCCAATTCTAAAGCTAATGCCATATGTCTTGGATTCCTTTATATAAATACACTATCTGGTTACCAAATTGTTTTCTATTATAGATAGAAAGAGGTGCAGGAAACTTTACCCAAACACAGAAACTTAAAACAATCATTTAATTTTGTTCATTTTGTGCGTCATGAATTTGGGGAATTCATATTTTGTGTCTCAATGTAGTCAAATTTCAAATAGGGAAGATGATTTTCAACAGAATGAGCATTCCAACAATGAGAGTTGCAAGAATTGGTATTCTAAAAAACCCAGTCAGAATCTCACTTCTATACATTTTATTGATCAGTTATACCACTAAGGTCAACCTGGACTCAATGAAAGAAGTGGTCTCTTCTGATTATTGGTGAAATGACATGTGTGTGCATGGACAGAAGCAATAAATTACAGCTGATTTGAAGATAAGTTACTGCAAACTAATTGTTCTACAGAATGGAAACAGTTTGAAATGCATTAAGAATACTCTAATGTTTTTAACTTACCAATCTATTACCATATGGCAAACACTGGAATGAATGTGGAAATGTTAAGAACTACCTCTAGCTCAAAATCTGGGAAAAGCTGCTTTAATTATCTGAAATTTAGGTTTTTATATTAAGACTGTCCCTAATCATCATGGGATATGCTTGGCTTACTCTAAAATCCATCTTCTTTGAAGAAAAATTGTAGGAAACTACATTTTCTAAGAACTCCAGATTTCTAGTTATATTAGGCTAACAGGAGTAACTGAAAAACTTTTGGAGGGTCAGAATAGTCAAACTATTTATAGTATTTAACCCCTGTCTCTGCACCATCTCCTATAGTCGCTTATATGCTCTATAACTCTTCATGATAGATAGTACCTCTGCTTGTGATCTACCTGCTGGTATGTAACCCTGACCATAGTTACAAGTCATGCTAGATGGCTCAGACGTTGGTACTAGTAATACTGCCTCCTTTCATTGTCCCTCCAACTGCCGAAGTGATAGTGGATTCCTGTGTTGCCTAAAGATTCTCCAATTGGCTTTCATCTCTGCCATTGTGTGTTGCCTGATGCCTTATGTTGAATTCCTTCTGTGTGAAGGGCTAAAGTGATTTTTGTTTTCCTGCCTGGGCTTTTACTGATATGCCTTATATATAATATATGTTACCTATGTTATATTACTCTCTACAAGTAAAATATAAACTTTCCTCATATGATTTATTATTTAAGGCCATATCTAATATAAATATAGATTATAGACAACTAAATAAAATATTATTTATTTTATTAAATTTAATAAATTAAAATGTAGTTTTAGTTATGTTTTCAATTTTTTATTAATACTTACCAGAACTGGCAAGGCCAGCAGCTACTTGAGGTGGAAAATTTCCACTGTCAACACTCCCACCAGTCCATGCATCATCACTAGTTTCACAATTAGGAGGCAAATACGAAGGGTTACAGTGACAGTTCTTTTTATTATTGCATACCTGAAACCAGGAGAAATATCATTTTTTAAGATAAAAGCTATAATTATTTGTGTTCCAGTAGAATTTTAAAATAATACTTAGGTCAAATGAGGCCAATATTCTTATGTGGTTTATGAGTATATAAACGTGTGTGTGTGTGTGTGTGTGTGTGTCTGTGTTTGTGTGTTCAGTTATGTGTTTACTTTCTAGTATTGCTCTCAGTGATTTCTATTCTCACATCACATTACTGCACTTACACCACGTTCATTGCATTTTCCTGGAGTACAATCATAATTCAAATATCCAGCATCTACACATTCTTTATTCTTGCAAACCTGAAAAGAAAATAAGCCAAAGTAAAATAACTGAAATAACATCTATATTTGACATTTCATTAAAAGAATTCTCTACGACACTGATATAAAAGGTATTTATTTAATACGTGTTAACACACTAGCAATAAGTTGATTAATTTATAGTGCTGTTTCCAGCCCTAGCAGCCCTAGATGAGACGCTGATTATCTGATAGTCAAGAAAACAACAGAAGTATCTTCTCTTCTTGTGCTGGTATAAAAGACATCAAATAAATAAAAATGAACATAACTATGTCATAAATACTATAATGAAAAAAGCACAGGGAATTTATCTGATATGTGGGAATAGTTTAATCTTATCAAACCTCTTATCAACCCCAGATGTTGAACAAGACTTAGGCAAGGATAGAAATGAAAGACAAAGTACTTATAGGAAAAGAAATAATATTTAAAATGACCCTACATTGAAAGATAATACAAAACTTTTGAGAAATATTAACAGCAGTGTACCTGGTACACAGAGAACAACCATTTAATCATGAATTCACTAAATAATTGAGTCCTACAGCATGCCTGTCCTGAGAAAAAACCAGTGAACAAAAAAAAATCTCATTTTGTTCATATTGCAGTGAAAGATATAGAAATGCACAAATAAAAAGGCCAAATGTGATGTGACAGTAAACTGTAATGGCAGGATTGTGCAGGGTCTTACATTATTTTTTTATTTTTTTAAATTTTTTTTTTCAAACGTTTTTTATTTATTTTTGGGACAGAGAGAGACAGAGCATGAACGGGGGAGGGGCAGAGAGAGAGGGAGACACAGAATCGGAAACAGGCTCCAGGCTCTGAGCCATCAGCCCAGATCCGACTCGGGGCTCGAACTCACGGACCGCGAGATCGTGACCTGGCTGAAGTCGGACGCTTAACCGACTGCGCCACCCAGGCGCCCCTTACATTATTTTTTTAAAGTTTATTTATTTATTTTGAGAGAGAGAGAGAGAGAGAGAAAGCACAAGTGGGGCAGGGGCAGAGAGAGAGGAGAGAGCAGGAATCCCAAGCAGGTTCTGCATTGCCAGTGTGGAGTCCGCTGTGGAGCTCCATTTCATGAACTGTGAGATCATGACCTGAGCCAAAGTCAGATGCTCAAATGACACAGTCACCCAGGAGCCCGTGGGGCCTTACATTCTTAAGCAGAAAGATGGCCTATAACCTGCAAGCAATTGGTTGTTTTTAGAGATTTCATGGAAGATGGAGAGCTGATAAAAATACGTTTTAGAAAAAGGATGGAAAAGGCAATAGAAAATGTTGAGAGACAAATTAGGACACCTTACGGTAGTCCAGAAAATGATAACCATAGAGTGAAATTGAGTGGTAATGGTGTAATGAAAACTCATGGTTCTATTTGAGATATCATTAAAAAGTTTAATACACTTAATTTTAATGATAAATTGATTTTATTGGAGGATGAAAAGAAAGATGGGTCAATGACACCAAGGTTTCTGGTTTATATAACACTTAGTAGTAGTATGATTGATTGAGGTAGGGAAAGCTACGCAGAAAGCTCAAAAGTTTAGCAGTTATTTTTTGAGACTTCTTTCAACTTCTTTCAACTATGCTTAATATTTTTAAAATATTTAAACATTTATTGACCTTATGAAAAATCTCTGAGTGACATGGCAAACCAAAGAACATGTAACTGGAAATATTATTTTTATAAAAATGTTTTCTAAATATTGTCAGTATTTCTTTGGGAGTCTCTTCTTAAAAATATATAATAATAATAATATACTAATTTTTAAAACCAGACAATGAATCTTCCCAAAAAAGGTTTTGCTAAACATGGTGAGTATGAAATAACACATTATTAAAGGTGTCTGATAATTTTGGCAACCCATACCTCCGTTTAAGAAAGAAATATACTTATTATAAATTGATGACCAGGCTATTCTGAGGGGTTGGGGTAAGAGAATAAAAGTTCTAGCTGTGGATACAGACTAGTGTTGCTATTGTTAGAAATATATCTGTTTTGTTACAATGATGCTTTATCACCTAACTAGCACTTGGGCAGAGAAGTTAAATAAATAATTTGCAGAGCTGTTGTCAAGAAGAAGATAAACATAACTCTCATAAGCATTAAATAAATTCTTTCAACTAGAGAAGAAAAAAGTTGAGAAGCCATTGTTGGTATTATGAGTATTCTATTTGTGCAATGAAAAAAAGTTTTTTGGCTTTAACATGCTTACTTCAGTTGTACCATGCAGAAAGGCTAGGAAAAAACACCATCAAAAGTGGGGAGCTAGCTACAAAATCACAGAAGTTTTTTACCACCATATTATAATATAATATAATATAATATAATATAATATAATATAATATAAAGAAAACAATGGTTCCTCACCAAACACTTTGAAACAGATTTTTTGAAAATTTGGTTTGTGGTAAGAAAACTGATGCAGTTTCCTATTCTTGTCACTATGTTAGAGTAGGATTCTGTAGAAACCTTCTTGTACAGAGGACTTAAAATATTGAATAAATTATGTGCACATATTCCTTGAAAAGAACACATGACTGTACCAGAGATAAAGTGAAAATAATTTTAAGTTCACAAAAGTTAAAATGAGACAATATGATTCCACAAAAGTAACCAGAAGCTGAAGCCAGTATTCCTCTACAGGCCATCAGTGACCAAGCAAATAGACTTTAAGTGATCATGTTTACCCTGTACAAGTGACAGAATTATAAGCAGGTTTTACTAAATACTGAAAAAATAATCTGGATAGAGGCATCAACAGAATGGTGCATTAGAAAGTCCAAAGTTCTTGTTCTATCTTGGAGATATTTTTAAAATAATAAGAAGGAAATCTGGCTAAAATAACCAATAAGAACTCTAGAAATAGTCAATGGTCTATGGCAACCAAGAAAATGCCCAATCAAGAAACAGCCAAATTTAAAATTGTAGAAAAATTTGTGGTAATTTTTTTAGAGTTTACTGATTTATTTTGAGAGCGGGAGAGAGAGAATCCCAAGCAGAGGTGTGCTGTCAGCATAGAGAGCCCAATGCGGGGCTCAATCTCACAAACCATGAGATCATGACCTAAGCCAAAATCAAGAGTTGGATGTATAACCAGTTGAGCCACCTAGGTGCTCCAAACTTTGTGGAATTTTTAAAATCAAATTTGCCCCCACTCCTTCCCCAGCATGGCATAGTCTTGGTATGGAGGAGGAAACTGCTGAGTTCACAATGATTTCCTTTGAACTGAAGGGAGCAGAGGAAACCATATTTTCAATTTCGTATTTTTCTTGGGAGCTACCTGAAGGACTGGTCTCTGTTTAACCTAACTTGAATCTTAGATAAGGGGAAGCAATGGACACTGCTCAGGAATGCTGTAAGGAGACTTAAGTTTTGCAAGCACCTGGGGCAAAAAATAATGGGTAAAGACATACAATAGATCATGTGAAGCCCAAAGGAGAGGATGGCATGAGAATTTTTTGAAAAGTAAGACATCTGATAATATCCATGTATGTGGGAAATCAAAAAAGCTACAGGGAAGCCCAGGAAAGATGCATCATCACAAAAGTTCTGAGAAGACCACAAGCTTTCTTTCTCCTCAGGCTGATTCCAAGGCTTAGAGCACACCCAACTTCCCAAGCACAGAGTCAGTCTGCAAACACTGGGAGAAATGTCTGTTTTCTCAAATGTCCAATTTTCAACAACAACAACAACAACAAACAACAATCAAAAGGTAGAAAAAGAAACAGGAGAACATGGTCCATTCAAATAAAAAAGATTAAGTGACATAATGTTATTTTTAAATAACTATACTAAATATGAAAAAGTTAAATAAAAGAAAATTTAAATAAAAACATAGTTTAAGAAAGAAAGAAAATCAGAAAAATTATATATGAACAAAATGAGAATATCAACAGAGATAGCAATTATAAATAGCAACCAAAAAATTATGATGCAAACATGTAATAACTAAATTTAAAAATTTATTATTTAGACTCAAAAACAAATTTTGGTTGGCAGAGGAAAGAATCAGTGATTTAAAGATAAGACATTTTAAACTTTGGAGTCTTAGATGAAGAAAGAAAAAAACAAAGAAAATGAACAAAGATAAAGAGTTATGAAATACCATCAAGCAGATCAAAATACATATTATGGGACTCCCTGAAGTAGATGAGAAAAAAGGAGACAGGGAAATTAGCTGAAAAACTGATGTCTGAAATGCCCCATGTTTGAAGAATAACATGGATCTACAAATCCTATGAGACAAATGAATACCAACTAAGGCAAAGGCAAAGAGATTCACACCAAAACACATTATAATCAAACAAAATGCCAAAGGAAAAAAATAGAATTTTAAAAACAGCAATTGGAATATGAATTACCATGTACAAATTATCCTTAACAAAATTATAGCAGATTCCTCATTAAAAACTTTTAAAACCAAAATGCAATGGGCTCATATATTGGAAATGCTAGAAGGAAAATAAAAAGTCTTGACAACTTAGAATTCTATATCCAACAAAACTGAGCTGAATTTGATAGGGGAAATTAGTACATTCTCATATTAAAAAGAAATAAAATTTGAGGCAATTTATTACCATAAGACCTAGCCTACAAAAAAATACTAAAAGGAGTCCTACAAGATAAATAAAAACTTGCTAGTCTGTAACTAGAATTTACACACAGAAATAAAGATCTCTGGTAACAATAAATAAAAGACGAAAGTATACAAATTAGTAGTATTGTAGTTTTCATTTATAACTACATTTTGAAATTTCTGAGATTAAAAAGACAAATACATAAAATTAAATAATTATAAGTCTGTGTTAATGGGTACACAGTATATAAAATGTAATTTTTGACATCAAAAAAAGTGTGGAGGGCAAAGATGTACAAGAGTAGATGTTTGTGTATACTTGAAGTTAACTTGGTATTAGCTCAAATTAGATTGTTATAACTTTAGGATGCTATATGCAATCCCATAGTAACCACAAATATAATAATCTATAGAATATATACAAAAGGTATAGAGAAGAGAATAAAAAATGTGTTACTACAAAACATGAACTAAAGAAAAATGAAGGTAGTGATGGGGAAATGATGTACAAAAAAAAATTATAAGAAATACAAAAATAATAAAATGTCAAAAGTAAGTCCTTTTCTATCAGTTACATTAATGTTAATGGATTAAATTCTTCAATCAAATACCATGGGGTGGCAGAATGGATAACATTGCTCAACTATATGTTTAAAGGGACTCTTTCTGCAAGACATTCACCTGATATCCAATGTCACAAACATGTAGAAATTGAAAGGATGGAAAAATATATTCCATGAAAGTAACAACAAAAGGGAATGAGAATGGCTATAATAATATCAGACAAAATAGATTTTAAATCAACTATCATTGCAAGAAAAAAAGTACACTCTAGATTAATAAGTAATCAAAATTCACCAAGAAACATACAAATGATAAACAGGTATGTATCAAACATCAGAACTCCCACATAATGGCACAAACAGAATTGCTGAGAGAAATAGATAGCTCTACAATAATAGCCTTCAATATTCCACTTTTGAAAAGAAGGGGACAGAAGATCAATAAAGAGAGGATGTGAAAACACTGTATAACAATTGGACCTAATAGACATGTATAGAACACTGCTTAACAATAGCAAAATACACATTTGTCTCAACTGCACATGGGCATTGTATACATTAGGACATATATAGTCACAAGACAAGTCTTAATAAATTTGGAAAGATTGAAATTATGCAAAGTATCTTTTTTGATTACAGTAAAGTGAAACTATACAGTAAAATCAGAAGCAACACTGAAAAATTTACAAACATGTGAAATTATCACATATGAAATAAAAAAAACTAGTCAACAAAAATACACAATGGATATTAGAAAATATTCTGAAACAAAAGAAAACAAAAACACAATACACGAGACATGAAATGCAGGAAAACACTGCTGACAGTAATTTTTAACTGTAAGCCAACACGTTAAAAAGGAAGAATGATTTTATTTTTAAATTTTTTAAAAATGTTTATTCACTTATTTTGAGACAGAGTGAGAGTGAGAAAGAGTGTGTGTGAGCAGGGGAGGAGCAGAGAGAGAGATAACCCCAAGCAGGCTCTGTGCTATGAGCACAGAAACCAATGTGGGGCTCAATCCCATGAACTATGCTATCTGAGCTGATATCAAGAGTTGGAAGCTCAACTGACTGACCCATCCAAGTGCCCCTAGAAAAGGAAGAAGAATTTTAAATAAAAAACTTAAACTTTCACCATAAACAAACAAACACACAAACAAGCAAACAAGCCAAGAGGTGGCAGAAGGAAGGGAATAACAAAGATTAGAATTTAAATAAAAGAGAAAACAGAAAACCAAATTAGAGAATAAAAATTAAAGACCAAAAAAATTGAAAAATCTTTTACCTAGAATTACTAAAATAAATAATATTCAAATAAGTAAATTAGAAATAAAGGTGAGCACCTTGCTATCGATTTTACAGAAATAACAAGCTTTATACGGTGAAAAACTGAGCACCAACATTTGGATAAGCTAATAAAATGAACAAATTTTTAGGAACACCCCATCTACCAACATTACATCAAAGAGAAATAGAAAATCTGACTAGACCTATAACTCATAAAGATATTAAATCAGTAATCAAAATCCTTGAAACAAAGAAAATTCCTGGACCAGATAGCTTCATTGGTGAATTTTACTAAATATTTACAGAATTTCACCAAATATTTAAATCAGTCTTTCTCAAATTCTTCCAACAAATGTAACAGGAAGGCACACTTCCAGATCCATTCTATAAGGCCAGAATTACCCTAATATAAAAACCAAGGACACGATAATAAAGGAAAACTACAAACAAATATTGATTGTAAATATTAATGCAATGTTCTCAACAAAACATGAGTAAACAGAATTCAACAACATATTAAAAATTTGCATATCATAACCACGTAGGATTAATTTATGGAATGTGGGAATGATTCGACATACAAAAATCAATGTAATACACTACATTAAAGGAATAAAGGGGGGAAATAATCACACAACCAGCTCAATTGAAGTAGAAAAACCATACGACAAAATTGAACACCTTTTAATGACAAAAAAGAATCTAACAAATTAGGAGTAGAGGGAAACTACCTCAATATAGTAAGCACTATCTATTAAAAACACACAGCTACACTCCCAGGGAAGATGGCAGAGTAGGAGAATCCTAAGCTCACCTCATCCCATGGATACAACTAGACAACACCCGTATCAGTGTACACAACCCCCCAAAAATAACCTGTAGACTGGCAGAACAGACTCTCCATAGCTAAATGTAGAAAAAAGACCACCTCAGAGAAAGTATGAAGGGATAGTCCAGAGCTCAACAGAATTACAGGACTGTCCACAGGAGGTAGAGATACCTCAGGTGTGGAGAAAACAGAGAAAGAACCCCTCACACCAGAATACTCAGGCATGAGGAACTCACATGAGAAAGACAAATCCTTATAACATCTGGCTTTGAAAACCAGAAGGACATAATTTCACAGGTTCTTACAATCTGTGAGGCTTAATGCCTGGAACTTTAAAAATCACTGGGCTTGGCTCTGGGAGAGCCAGGAAAGGTGATTGGAAACTTGAGCCCTTAAAGAGACAGCACAACAAACAGCCCCGTGGAGATGGAGCACAGAAGCAGCAGTGTATATGGGGTATATGAGAGGGAGATTTGTTTACTAATCTCTGAGTCTGAGCCGGAAGAGAGGGATCTTTGGGAGACTTTTCCAGGAACAAAGGAGCTGGAGGGCACTATTTCTCTTCTCTGCCCCATACACTAGACACACAGACACCTGTGTGAAACAGCACAGCAACAACATTCCATCTAGTTTGCTAGTAGGCCACCCTGCCCCTGCATTCTCCTGCAGACATAGCCTGTCCACCACAGCAGGCCCACACAAACCTTGCTAACCCTTCCCCTGAGTTCTACAAATATTTGCCTCCAATATGCCTTTGGCCATGCTCATCCAAAGTAGTGCCACAAGCAGTGTGCAAGCTGCCCCAATAGTGGCCGGCCCCACTCTAACATGACTCTTGCCCTGGGAAGAGTGCCAAATAATCACATGTACCAGTGCCACTGCAGCCTCAGCAGTGGACTAGAGACGGGCATCTGGTCTGACTATAGGCCCTGCCCACCAACCTTCTCAGGAGACAACACAAGGAAAGTGCCCTACAGTTTGGTGTTACCACATCTCTAGGAAACTCCTGATCTGATGCAACGCAAGCCCAGAGTAGCCCCAGATGGCCCATATGATTTCACTCATATGTGGAATTTAAGAAACAAAAGAGATGAACATAAGGGAAGGGAAGCAAAAAGAGAACAAACAGGGTTGATGGAAGGGAAGAGGGTGAGGGGGAAGTAGGTGGGGGAATGAGCTAAATGGTGATGGGCATTTAGGGGGACACTTGTGATGATGAGCACTGCATATACAAGTGATGAATCACTAAATCCTACACTTGAAACCAATATGACACTATATGTTAACTATATGACACTATATGTTAACTATAGTTTTCAGTGTACGAGCCTTTTACTTCCTTTATTAAGTTAATTCCTAAGTATTTTATTCTTATTGATGTTATAAGTGGAGCTGATAACATAATTCCCTTTTCAGAATGTTCACCTTTACTATGTAGAGATTCCACTCACTGATTTTTATATCCTGATAGTGTATCCTACAACTTTGCTGAATTTATTAGTTCTAATATAGTGTGTGTATCTCTGTATCTCTGTGTAATGTTTATGGCTTTCTACATATAAGATCATGTTATATGTTAACCAATATGACACTATATGTTAACTTGAATTTAGATAAGATATTGGAAGAAAAAAATTCAAGTATCACATATATATAAAATATAGTTAGTATACTAAGTATTTCACAATTGTTTGTATGGGTATATAAATAGTTGTTGGAAGGTCCATGAACATGGAAAGTAGTCACATCTTATATATATGCATTTGAATGATTTTGCTTTTATCTCATTTTTATTATTTTCATCACTAAAACGAGTGTATATTATTTTAACAGTTCTTTTCAAGTAATTCTATTAAAAGATAATTCATGGCATGAATTACATCTCTATGTACCATGAGACAATTTAATAAAATCTAGTGAAGGGCGCCTGGGTGGCTCAGTCAGTTGAGCGACCAACTTCGGCTCAGGTCATGATCTCGCGGTCTGTGAGTTTGAGCCCCGCGTCAGGCTCTGTGCTGACAGCTCGGAGCCTGGAGCCCGTTTTAGATTCTGTGTCTCCCTCTCTCTGACCCTCCCCCGTTCATGCTCTGTCTCTCTGTCTCAAAAATAAATAAACGTTAAAAAAAAATTTTTTTTTTTAAATCTAGTGAAAAAACAGTACGATTCTCCGTTCAGTGAAGATACGTTAATATCAATGAAAAAAGTACTAAATAGCCAATAAAATGTTTATAGAAAAATAATCTGCATGAATGTAGATTTAAAATGTTTTTTCTTATTTTTAAAGTTTTTATTTTTGAAATCAAATGCACACTTCAATTATGAGAAAAATATTAAACATGCATTTGAAAATAGAGTATAAAATATTAAGAATTTATTTGGGGAAAAAGACTACATACCTTATTATTACCACAAACAGTTCCTTCTTTTACCCACATCTTTTTGCTAATTATAAAATCATGTGGAAAATCCAATGCAACGCAGATGTGTCCATTTATGTTGGCATAAATAGCAGTGGCATTTGGAATATTAATTATTTCTTCTTTTTTATATTCACATATTAATTTTCCACACTGCAGATCCCTATAATTTACCCATAAATGAAATCATTAGCCTTCAATAAAAAGAAATATTAGAATATCATTTATAAATCAAAAAGATTTAGGTAAAGCATTGAAGTCTTGCAAAAAGATTCATGCAATTAATTGTAAAACAAGAAAATATAAAAGCCTTACCTGCATTGTAAATAATAACTGAACATTTTAATAATTTTGAACCATTTCCAAGTTAGCCTGATCACTTTTTTTAAAGTAATTCTTTCACTCTTTTTTGATTCTTAAAGATAAGCAATTCCAAGCTTATTCCATTTTTGAAAATTGGTGAAGTTCATCTAAACACCAGTCTCTTTGGATTTTCTTTTTAATTTTTTAAACATAATTCCTACTCTCAGGATGATAGGTCCCAACTGACAAAACATTGAATCCCACATCCAAGAAGCATTATATACAATAAATATTAAAATAAAACTACTAAGATACATCATAAAGATAATGCTGTAAACCACAAAAAAAGTGATAAAGGTAATCAGAATATTAAAAAGCATGAAAAGCAAAAGCATAATCATACAATTTAACACTGACTTTCCAACAGAAACAATGGAAACCAGAAGATTATTGAATGACAAATTCCAAAAAAGAAACAAACCATCTACTGTCTTCCTATTTTATGTGCAGAGAAAATACCTTTCAAAATGAAATATGGTATTTTCAGACAATAATTGAGAACATTTATCATCAGCAGTCTTGGACTAAAGAAAATGTACACCAAGTTCTTCACATTAAAGGGAATTGATCTTAGATGGAAGCTTTCAAAACTACAAAATGCAGATAGCTTTATCAGATGAGGAAGTCCCTTTTTATTCCTAGTTATGTGAGAGTATTTATCATGGATCAGTGCTAGATTTTGTGATAAGTTAGACACAGAATAAAGAAAATTGTACAGATAAATGTACATGAGGGGGCTATGAGAAAGAGAATATATAGTTAAATCATCTATTCCCCAAACAAGCATAAACTGGGCAAAGTTGTCAAAACAACCATTTCAGGGCTATAAAACTTACCAAAACAAACAAAAAAGTGAGAAGTATTTATGAAAAGCTGCCATAAAATCAAGAGTGGTGGGAACTGTGGTCTTCTTTACTGAATCTGCTCCTATGCCCTCTCAGATCAGTTGATGCTGTTATTTTACCAGAGTCAGAGCTGGCCATGAAAACTATTAAATTAAATGTCAGCAAAATGGTTCTAGATATGGTGAAGAGGACAAAAAACTTCACCCATTAACACTTTGAATAAAGTAGCAAATTTGGTAGGGAAAGAATGTAAAACCAGCAGCATTATGAGTCTGAGATTGAAATCCCAGTTGGGGTTAGTGACAGATAAGAGAAAAATCAAAGACACAATCCTGGAAGTAATAGCTCCATTAAGGGTAGTGATAAACTATCCTTATGTCACAACCCTAGCTGACAGAGAGGCTACATGCATGTGCTAGAGAGATCTGAGAATGATTGATAAGAAGTAACAGCAGTGGAAACTAAATTTACCTTGAATCTAAACGTGCTCCCTAATTACAAAGAAAAGCCTAAGGCCACATGACTCTAGTGATAAATTCTATAAAATACATGAAAAATATTACTAATTCTACACAAACATTTACAGAAAGTGAGAAAAATAAAACATTTTCTAACTTATTTTATGGGCAAGTAGTATTCTGACATCAAAGCAAAGAAAAGACACCACAATATGATAAATATGGACACAAAAATTCTTAACAGAATATTAGCAAATCAAATCTAGAATTACACAAAATGATTATACACCATGACTAAGTGGGATTTACCCAGGAATGTATCATTGGGTTAATACCTAAGAGCCAAGTCACAGAATAAAGGGGAAGGGAACACATAATTATTTCAAAAGGCACAGAGATAGCATTTAATAAAATCCAGCACTGATCCATGATAAACATATCTAGTCAAAGTGGGAATAGAAAGGAACTTCCTCAAACAGATAACAGCTGTATGAATAACCAACTAGTAACATCATGGTTAAAGTCCAAAGATTGAATGCTACCACTCTTTAATCAGGAACAAAACAAACACTTCTGCTTTCACCACTATTATGGCAATGGAGCACAGATTTTTCAGATACTATACCAAAACCATAATCTGTAAAAAAATAAATGAATAAATTGGGCTTCATCGAAATTAAAGTCTTCTGCTCTTTGAAAGATGCCATTAAGGAAAGAAAAGGGATAGATTTAGAGAAAATATTTACATTTCATACATCTGATAAAGATTATATTCTGAATATGTAAACTATTTTTTCAATTTAATAATAACAAACCACAATTTGAAAATAGGCTCTAGATTTGCCAAGACAATTTACCAAAGAAGGTATGAAAAAGGCTAATAATCACATGAAAGACTGATCATTTCATTAATTAGTACATAAATTCAAAGTGAAACCAGAATGGTTTTACCTTTTTAGAATGACCAAAAGAAAATAGACAAACAAACAAACAAAACCCTATAAGCATATAAAAAGTTATTACAATACCAAATGTTGGTGAGGTTTTACACTGTTGATGGAAATGTAAAATGATACACTCACTCCACAAAATACTTGGAAACCTTCTTACGATATTAAACATATATGGAGGAATAGTAAACTTGAATAGACTTATAACCTGCAAAGAAATGGAATCAGTAATCAAAACCCTCCCAAAAAAACAAAAGTTCAAGGCCAAATGGTTTCATAAGCAAATTCTAAAAAAAGCATTTAAAGAAGACTTAATGTCTACTCTTCTCAAACTATTCCAGAAAATAGAAAAGGAAGGAAAACTTCCAAATTCATTCTATGAGGTCAGGATTACCCTGATATCAAAATCAGAAAAAGACACCACTAAACAGAAAATCATAGGCCAATATCCTTGGTCAAAATTGATGCAAAATTCTCAATAAAATACAAACAAACTGAATCCAACAATACATTTTTTAAAAATCAACATTAACAAGTGGGATTTATTCCTGTGTTGCAAAGGTGGCTCAATATTTGCAAATTGACCAAAATGAAACACTACATTAATAAAAGAAAGGATAAGAAGCATCTGATCATTTCAATATATGCAGAAAAAGGATCTGTACAACATCCATTCATGATAAAAACCCTCAACAAAGTAAGGTTAGAGGGAAAATACCTCAATATAATCAAGGCCATTTGTGAAAAACCCAGTTAATATCTTCCCAATGGGGAAAACCTGAGAGCTTTTTTTCCTCTATGGAACAACACAGGGATGTCCACTCACACCATTGTTATTTAACATAGTACTGGAAGTCTTAGCCACAACAATCAGACAACAAAAAGAACTAAAAGGCATCCAAACTGAAAAGGAAGAAGCCAAACTTTCACTATTTGCAGATGACACGATACTCTACATGAAAAACCCAAAAGACTCCATCAAACCTCTGCTAGAACTGATACACAAATTCAGTAAAGTAGCAGGATACAAAACCAATGTACAGAAATCTGTTGCATTTCTACACACCAATAATAAAGCAGCAGAAAGGAAATTAAGGAATCAATCCTATTTACAATTGCACCAAAAACCATAAGATACCTAGGAATAAACCTAACCAAAGAGGGAAATAATCTATATAATACTTATGAAAGAAATTGAAAAGGACACAAAGAAATGGAAAAAAATAATATTTTTTAGAAGAACAAATATTATTAAAATGTCTATACTACCCAAAGCAATCAACATATTTAATACAATCCCTAGCAAAGTATCAACAGCATTTTTCATAGAGCTAGAACAAACAATCCTAAAATTTGTATGGACCACAAAAGATGCCGAATAGCCAGAGAAACCTCAAAAAAGAAAAGAAAAGCTGGAGGCATCCAATTCCAGACTTCAAGTTATATTACAAAGCTGTAGTGATCAAGACAGTATGGTACTGGCACAAAAATACACACATAGATCACTTAGATCAATACAGCTAAATAGAACACATGGAAGCGCGCGCGCGCACACACACACACCCACACACACACACACACACACAGAAGCAGGAAAGAATATCCCATGGGAAAAAAGACAGTCTCTTCACTTCAACAAATGGTGTTGGGTAAACTGAACAACAATATGCAAAAAAATGAAACTGGACCACATTCTACACCATACATAAAAATAAATTCAAAATGGATGAAAGACCTAAATGTAAGACAAGAAACATCAAAATGGTAGAGAACACAGGCAGTAACCTCTTTGACATTGCCCATGAAGACTTCTTACTAGATATGTCTCCTGAGCCAAGGGAAACAAAAGCAAAAATAAACTATTGGGATTCATGTAGGTGGTTTTTTTCTGCAACCTCAGTTCTCTGATGGGTCAAAGAAAATTCATGGATTTCAGTTTGTTTAGTTGTTTAGTTTGTTGTTACAACAAGAGAAATGACTTCCAAACTCTTTTTTTTTTTTCTTTTTTTTGGGGGGGGGCATCTGTTTTCATTAGAAAACTCCACTTGGTCAGCGTTTCCCTGACCCGGAACAGAGACTGGGCAGCCCCCAAGTGTCCCTAGGCCTTCATGTTGTCTTCTAGCTTCTTCTGGGAGGGGAGCGCGGGGGTGGGGGTAAGGGCAGCGTCAGGCAGTCTCCTGAGTGCCCCTCCCAGACCCCTCAGAGTTCTCCCTGCTGGCCCCGCCCAGCTCGGTGGTGGGGACCTGAGGGCCCACAAAGCTTGAAGCTTGTTGCCTAAAGCATTCCTGTTGGTATGGCTTCAGGATGGAAGTGAGGCATGGAGTAGGAACTCTCATGCAAAATTTCCCACAGTTTCATTAAGATAAAAAAGTTACTTAGATTAAAATGAATCAAATCATTTTAAGGATATGTTTATGTGCAAATATCACCAAAATCCTGTGGAGTCCATTTTCCTTTGTGGGCATTCAGAATCAATTTTTACTGCTGAGTCCATCCCCAAGTAACCAGTGACCTGATTTTTGTCTCCATGGATTTACCTTTTCTGGA